TCAGACGCGCCTGCGGCCGGCCCCGAGTCAGCTCTGCCGCTACCCCTGCCCCCATTGCGACTCTCCCCACGACTTCCCCTGAGACCCCCTCCGACACAGTCCCGATCTGACCCGGGACCCTCGCACTACTCCACCTGCACGATAAACCACCACCCACTAGTCCTCATGCACCCCCATCCTACCCCCAGAACCGCTACAGCCCTGATGCGCCTCGTTTCCATCTCCGTGCCTGGTGTTTCCATCCCAGTCACCATCTCCCTCTCCACCTCCCTCTCCCTATCTCTGCTTCCACCTCCATCTCTCTTCCCATCTCCATTTCCATCTCCACATCTCCATCCCCCTCTCCACCTCCTTTTCCACCCGCTCCTCCATCACCATCTTCATCTCTGTGTGTATTCCTGGTGTTTCCATCCCAGTCACCATCTCCCTCTCCACCTCCCTCTCCCTATCTCTGCTTCCACCTCCATCTCTCTTCCCATCTCCATTTCCATCTCCACATCTCCATCCCCCTCTCCACCTCCTTTTCCACCCGCTCCTCCATCACCATCTTCATCTCTGTGTGTCTCCATCACCATCTCCACCTCTACCGCTGATTCCACTTCTACCTACGTTCCCATCTCCGTCTTCATCTCCATCCTGGCCTTTTCCTGAGCGCTGGCCCAGCGGGTGTCTGCGTGGGCGACCCGGTGCTGCGCACAGGGAAGCCGCTCTCGGTGGAGCTGGGTCCCGGCATCATGGGCTCCATCTTTGATGGGATCCAGCGTCCCTTGAAGGACATCACAGAGCTGACCAAGAACATCTACATCCCTCGGGGAATCAACATCCCTGCGCTGGGCCGTGATGTCAAGTGGGACTTCACCCCCAGCAAGCACATCCGAGTGAGCTGGGGCCAGCTATTTTCCATGGGAGATGGTGTCTGGGATGGGCATGGAGCTGAGGAGGGGAGGACACCCCCGGATGTGGGTCCTGCACCCTCGCTGGGGCTGGGGATATGGGGACACCCTTTCTCGAAGCATCTCCCTTGTGGCTGGTCTTCACAGTCCTCTTGTCCCAGGTCGGGAGCCACGTCACGGGCGGAGACATCTATGGCGTGGTGACCGAGAACTCGCTCATCCAGCACAAGATCATGGTGCCACCGCGGAGCCGGGGCACCGTCACCTACATTGCACCCCCGGGGCACTACGACATCTCGGTAGGGGCTCTCGGGGCTGGGGCTGGCCTTCGGGGATGGCTGGAGCCATCCCCCCATGGATCCCCTGGTCCCATGTCCCTGTACCTGTCCCCTGCCAGGATGTGGTGCTGGAGCTGGACTTTGAGGACACCAAGGAGAAGCTGACCATGATGCAGGTCTGGCCTGTGAGACAGACCCGGCCTGTGGCTGAGAAGCTGATGGCCAACTACCCACTGCTGACGGGCCAGAGGGTCCTGGATGCCCTTTTCCCGTAGGTCCAGGGCTGGGGATGGCATGGAGGACAGAGGACAGGGATGGGAAACACGGATGGGGGACAGGGAGGGGGATGGGGGACAGGGAGAGGGATGGGGGACAGGGATAGGGGCCAATGATAAGGGCCAGGGATGGAGCTAGGGAGAGAGACAGAAACAGGGGATGAAGATAGGGGACAGAGTTGGGGCGGGGGGACAGGGATAGGGGATGGAGTCAGGGATGGGGATGGGGAAGGGCATAGGGACAGAGATGAGGAAGAGGATAGGGATGGGGACGGTCCTGGCAAAGAAGAGGGCAGCCAGGGGCTCCCGGGTAATGCTGGGGACACCGGGGGTCTCACCCACTCCCGACGTGGATCCCAGGAGGGGATGGGACAGGGGCAGTGGGTGGCCAGGCAGGTCTCGGCTCCATCTCCTTTTCCATGGCTCTAGCGGGGCTGATTTTCCCCACCTTTGGGGGGAACCCAGCTCCCCTCTGTGGGCTCTAGCACGCCTCTGTCCCCACGGTGTCCCGGTCCCCAGGTGTGTCCAAGGTGGCACCACTGCCATCCCAGGGGCCTTCGGCTGCGGCAAGACGGTCATCTCGCAGTCCCTGTCCAAGTACTCCAACAGCGACGTCATCATCTACGTGGGCTGCGGTGAGAGGGGCAACGAGATGTCCGAGGTGCTGCGGGACTTCCCAGAGGTGAGCTGGGGACGCCCAGAGGTGGCACGGTGGGGACAGCGAGCTGTCTGTCACGGCAGTGGGGACAGCAAGCTGAGCATCACAGCAGGGTGACAAGCCATGTGTCGCAGTGGTGGCAGCAAGCTGGGCATCATGGGGGGGCCATCAGGATCATGGTGGCACGTGCCACCAGGCACAGGGGGCTGCACCGGGCTGGGCACAGGCAACCAGGGCAGTGGTGGCCCCGATGTGGTGTTGTGCCCATCGCACCGGCAGTGATAGTGCCGGTGGCCCCCAGCTCACCATGGAGGTGGACGGGAGGACGGAGACCATCATGAAACGCACAGCGCTGGTGGCAAACACCTCCAACATGCCCGTGGCCGCCCGTGAGGCCTCCATCTACACTGGTGAGTCAGGGCGCATGTGTGCAGGCAACTGTGTGTGAGTGTGTGTGTGTGTGTGTGTCAGTGTGGGTGCACATGCATGGATGTGCACGTGCAACAGTGTGCAAGCTCTTGTGCTTGCATGCGTGTGCGCTCAGGTGTGTGGCGAGTGTTTGTGTGTGTGTGCACGTGTGGGTGTGCTCAGGCATGTGTGGCGAGTGCTTGTGCACGTGCACGCGTGTGTGCATGCATGTGCACGTGCAACTGGGAGCGCAGTTGTGTGCATGCATGTATGTTTGGTGCATGCATGCACAACAGAGAATGTGTGTGCATGCGCACACATGTGTGTGAGCAGCTGCATGAGCTCAGGCATGCATGTGCATGCATGGGTGCATGCATTTGCAACTGGGAGAGCACTTGTGTGCCCATGCATGCATGTTCGGTGCACGCATGTGCAACTGAGCGCACGCACGTGCCTGCATGCGCGTGAGCTCATGCACGCACATGTGCACGCATGCGCCTCTGCCTGGGCGTTGGCGCACGGTGCCCCGCAGGCATCACACTCTCCGAGTACTTCCGTGACATGGGCTACCACGTCAGCATGATGGCCGACTCGACGTCGCGCTGGGCCGAGGCGCTGCGCGAGATCTCGGGACGCCTGGCCGAGATGCCAGCGGGTGAGCACCTTCCCTGGCTGCTGCTGCCAGCAGCCACGAGACCACGGTGATGGCCTCCAACCGGCTCCGTGGGTGCTGGATCTGGCCGTGCACTAATGGCAGCCCTCCTTTGCAGACAGCGGCTACCCAGCGTACCTCGGCGCCCGCCTGGCGTCCTTCTACGAGCG